TTTTTTGGCCCTTGAATTTGGGGTTTTTCTAACGCCACAAAATTCAAACCCGGTTTGGGGCCCTTCCATGGTTCCATTTAAGTGTTGTCAGTCATGGTCATGATTAATTTTATGGATATTTAAGGTTAAATTTTAAGGAATTTAATTTTATCATTAAACTAGAGGCCCGGTGCACAAAAATTTGTGCACTTGGGGGGGGGGCCCTCAGCCTGGCCTGTGCCCTCTCGCAGTCCGGGACCCCTCGGGGGATGACCACCTGCTGGCTTAGGCCCGCTCCCCAGGGGATTGGGCCTAAGCTGGCAGTCAGACATCCCTCTGGCAGCCAAGGAGCCCTCAGGGGATGTCCACTGGCCAGCGGGGAGCAGGCCTAAGCTGCAGTCGGACATCCTTAGTGCTGTTGAGGAGGCGGGAGAGGCTCCTACCACCACCGCTGTACTGGCAGCCGTCAGCCTGGCTTGTGGCTGAGCAGAGCTCCCCCTGTGGGAGCGCACTGACCACCAGGGGGCAGCTCCTGCATTGAGCGTCTGCCCCCTGGTGGTCAGTGTGTGTCATAGTGACCAGTCATTCCCAGTCGTTCTTCTGTTAGGGTCAATTTGCATATTATCCTTTTATTATATAGGATAATATCGTTATTAAGTATGATATCAAGTTTTATTCAGCGTACCTATAGTTTAAGACTTGAAACTTTAAGTAAAGTTTATTAAGTTAATTTTAGGGAATGTTGTGGAGTGAAAGAAGATGTAGTGTCGAGGATTGAGAAAGGTATGTTGAGATGGTTTGGACATATAGAGAGGATGAACGAAAGGAGATAGACGAAACAAGTATACAAGATGAGTGGATGGGAGAGTTGGAAGTGGTCGACCTCAGCGAACGTACCTCAATCAGATTGAGGACATTTTTAGCAAAGGCCAGCTTAGGAGTGCCCTAATTAAGTTAATAACAATGTACCTACCTATATAGTTTAAGTTTAAAAAATTTGGCTCTCAAAAGAAATTTCAATTGTTGTACTGTTGATATTTGGCTCTGTTGACTGAGTTTGCCGACCACTGCCTTAGGGGAAGGAACATCCTGTACCTCAGTCTGAGCCACTAAACTTGACCCAGCCACATAGAGGAAGGAGAGCTGACCTCACGCCGTGAGGGGACAGGATGTGGATGTAGCTGGACTCTCCAAAGTCTGCTCAGGGAGGCCCGGTGAGACGCTCACTCCTCTGCAGTGCAGTGACCAGCCCGTGGCCTCCGTGGTGCATTTCTAGTCTTGCCCACAGATGTTGAACAGAGCTGGTCACCTTAGAAGTAAAAGAAGGGAGCAAGGCGTTCAAGAAGGCCATCTGCCCCAGGCTGGGTTAGGACTGAACATCAGAGAACAGGTTGTTAGGAGTTGGGGACCTTCGTGTAGCTGCCCTCAGCCCCTTCCCGAGTGAGTGGCAGGAAGGCCCTGTGCTCTCGAGTCTCCACAGCAGAGCCGGCGCCTGTTCCCGGCCGGGCTGGGGCAGAGGCTCCAGAGTGAAGCCTGGGATGGCTGCCGGCTGGTGGCCCTGCAATGGGAACGCAGCAGCATCATGTGCACGCAGGTCCTCATTTTCCTTTGGGAAGAACAGTGACATGGTGACAGGTTATTTGAGGGCATCATTTTCATGTCTCCAAATAAATTAAACATTGGAATCTTAAGAACTTTGACTAGTAATTCTTTCAAAGAAAATATACCCAGTGCCCATGTGCACATTCTGCTAGGAAGTCAGTGCGGCTTCTCGGGCGACTCTGAAGATGCGTGCATTGAGGAATCCGCCTGGCTTAGCACCCACGGGTGCCCACAGCGGCACTCCCGGAGGCTTCTTCAGGTGGCGTTGGGGTTGGCAGGTTTACTCGCCGTGCCAAAGGGGCAGGGACGTGGTCCAGTGAACACCTCAAGTGCCGGCCGGGTCCTCGAGGCCATGCGATTTGCAGGGGGAGGAGGGGAGAGTTTCTGGACAATGGTGCTGCCTGTCTTGGTGGCTCACCCGTGTCAGAGGCCCTGTGGCTGGAGTGCCACAGTGAGCGTGCACCCCTAAGGTGGCACTTAGCAAAAGTGGGGCCAGGCCTCAGCTGGAGAATTGTGGACCAGAGTGGGACTCCCCAAAGGACCAAGGAGAAGGGCTGAGGGCCACTGAATGTCCTCGGGAAGGCGGAGAAGTGACGTGGGCTCACTCTCGATGACAAACCATAGTACAGCTGCCCCGTATCATCGGGCGTTGCATCCATGGCTTTCACATCTGCAGATTTAATCAACTGAGGATTGAAAATATTCAAGGAGAAAAAGCCCAGAAAGTTTCCAAAAGCAGACCGTGAATTAGCCATGCACTGAGCACTACCCTGAGTCCACGCAAATGGAGTGAGTCACGTGTGGGCACACCCCGCTCTAGGCTATATGCAAATACAGGCTATATGCAAATGCTACACTGTTTTATATAAGGGACTTGAGCATCTGTGCGCTTTGGTATCCATGGGGAGTCCTGGAATTAATCCCCAGAGACCCAGGGACAACTGTGCTATTTTCCTGTGGTTGCTTGGGGTGTGTGGAGCAGGTGCTCGCCCAGGTTGTCCTAAGGAGCAAAGCATGCATTTCCATGCAGGTGTACGGTGCTGTGAGGGCCTGGGAACTAGCAAGGACCCCACAGGCTGGTGTGGGAGGCTGCAGGACCCTCCTGTGGTGGTTTTGTATCCTCGGCCACACTCCCTATTGCTCTCTCTCCTTCCATGTCTCCTACCACTGTGGTGTCTCCTCACCCTCCTAGATCTTTTCTCTAGTTTGGGCTTATTCACAGCCTTTCCGAGCCGCTGCTCTATCTCATGACCTCCTGGTACACGTTCTTTCAAATTTAAATTTTCTCATTTGTTTTGATGAGAACTCCTGGGAGCATTCTGTGCTGGGCCCCTGGCTGCTCTGGATCTGTGGCCGGTGGCCCTGTAGTCTCCCTCTGTATGAAGGGCTCTGGCTGGGCAGCACTGTTTGTGGCCCAGCCTTGAGGTGGTGAGCAGGAGGGAGTCCCCTCGGCCTACGGGCCTCGATCAGGGAACCCAGGACTCGCTGGCGGGATCAGGTGCCCCAGTGATCACATGCAGTTCTTTTGCTTTTGCCACAGGCCTTGTAGTACTTGGTTTCTTGACCTGTGTATGAACTAATGACACTCAGATGCTTAGGAAATAAACGACCATGAATCTTTGGTGCTGCTCCAGTCTCAAGTATTTCCTGGCTACACTTTTACCCACATGCAAGAAAAGAGAGCTATTGGATTTGTTCTGTCCCAGCTGTGGGGACCTAGTTCATGGTACTCACTGAGCAGGAGGAACTAGCAGACATGTCCCATTCGGATGAAGAGGGGCTCAGGGTCCTCTTGACTCTCCCGGAAACTGACGGAGGTGTGTCGTTGCAGGTCGGGGGTCCTCCGCTGGTGTCGGCTCCCGTGCCCGCCTTCTCTCGCTCTTCTGTCACACCTTCCAGTCAGGACATCTGCAGGTAACACCCTCTTCAGATGCTATAGTGGCTCGTGTCACCCCAGAAGTACGCGATAGTGTCCGCAGTTCTCGGTGTTTTATTCGCTTGATCAACACTGTGCTTTGCTCTAAACAGTCAGCCCCGTTCTGTGTGCTGTTTGCTCACCAAGTTACACGAGTCTCATTTCTTCACTTGTATGTCTGTTCTCTTTAAAAATTGTTTTCACTTCTGTGTTTTATCCCACTGTTCTCTGCATGCAGTTCCAGGGCAGTGTGTTCTGGGTGTTGTCACCACAGCCCCATGCAGGCTGCTGTTGTCCTGAAAGCGGCTCGGGGCCCGAGCTCTCTGGCGCCAGGGCTCACAGTGACCGTGCTCTGTGCAGACACACTGCCCGCGCCACCGAGGACCCCCGGCGGCTCCGAGTGGGCCCCGGCCGTGAAGCCTGCTCAGAGCAGCAGAGCCAGAAGGACGCTCAAGTGCTCCAAGTCCCTGAACGATGTGGGCGAGAAGGCCCAGGACAGCGTGGGAAACTTTGGCTATGTGGAAAGAACGTGCTCTGAAGGGAAGCTGATACTCTCTCAAGATCCGTGTCTCAGAATTAACAGGTTCCATCATAAACAGAAAAGAACTCTGAATTGCAAACCTCTTGGCCCTTCCAAACATCCTTGTGTTCCATCCCTATTTGCCAATCGCCCAGCTGCCTCAGAGGTGGAGGGTGGCAGGGGGGGCATGCATGTCCCTCTTCTGGAAGAGAAGGCAGATGAGGAGGCCGTTTCCAGAAGCCGGCGGCTGCTCAGGTACCTGTTCTCCCTCTCGCGTGGCTCGAGCGCCAGCAGCCTGCACAGGTTCCACGAGCTGGAGAGCGGGGCGGCCCACCTGCGCAGCGCCAAGTCCTCCAGCGGGCTGGCCGGCAGCGCGGGCTTCTGCTCCGACGACATGGGAGATGACGACGTCTTTGAGGACAACACATCCGCAAGATCGAAGAGGAGGGCCCTGCGGGCACCCCTCTGCTCCGTGGAGAAGGACAGTGACCTGGACGGTTCCTCTCCCCTCTCTGAAAAATGCCCCCCCATCTCTCCCGTGTCCACGTCAGGGGATGCCTGCAGGTTGGTTTGCCAGGAACCACCATTCTGCCCATCTCTGCTCCCACACCTGTGTAGCCTCATCTTGCTTTTAATATGTGAAGTTTCAGGAAAACCAATTAGTAGGCAGTGGTAGACAATTGTGGATTAATAGTTTCTCCAGAAGAATGGAGTGTTGATACCATTTGGAAAACCAATTTCTATGACATGGGTCCCAAGATAGTTTCACAGACGATAAAAGAGGAAGAAGCTACACATATTAAAGGTCAAGCTGACTTTGCGTAAGGAAGTTGGAAGAAAGAAAGTTTTCCGGCTTGATGGTCTAGAGTCCAGGGCTGGCTGTCCTCCCACCTCATTGTTACCCCTTGTTCCACCTACAGCATGATGTGCATGGGAGAGGCTGTCCTTCCTTCTGTTTAACTTGGAGGCAGCCGCCTCTGTCCAGGTCCTAATTCCACTGCCCACCTCCATCTCCTCCCATGTCAGCAGCCCGGGCGGAGATAATGCCCCCCAAATCTTTCAGAAAGCACTTTTTATCACCACTCTAAGCCTTCCCCATCCTAACCTTCCCTAGTCACCCTCCTGAGGGCCAGCCATTATCAGTTCTGACAATTGGATCAGAAAGAAACAGCTGAGAGCTGGGCCAGGGCCAGCCACTCCTTCCAGGCTGGCGTCTCTGCTCCTCAGCGGCTGGGAGGACCCTGTTTCTCAGAGGTCTGTTTAGTTTCTCGAGGTTAGTAGCTCGATCCTGTTGCATGTACCCTGAACCTTTCAATATAATAAATGCTTTAAAATTCCCACTTACTGCTGTGAGTGGTCCTGCAAAAAGAAATGAACCTGCAGCCCCTCAGAATGTCCTGAGTCCAGGAGAGGTGCCGAGATGTCCCTGCTCACCCTGACAGAACTGTGGTTTGGAGGTGAGGTCAGTGATGATAGTGAAAAAGCAGATCCCACCATCTTTCAAATCACTGGTACTTTTGGAAGGCTGATTTTCTTTTACACAGAAATTTTTTCCTAATTATTTTAACGTCGTAAGTTCTGGAAGATACTGCCCGGTTGCCTAAAATCTGTCTTTCAGTCAAGTTCTTACCCAGAGTGACTGCTGTGTCATTTCTTACACCAGTTCCCCTCGTGCCCAATGCCCAGACTCCCCGTGTCGGTGCAGTTAGCTAGAGGTGTTTAGTTTGCAGTCATTGTCCTCGCTCTTGTCTGTCTGTGTCTGTGCTTGTAGTTGATCCTGTGATGTTTGTTTCTGAGCGTTTTCTTGGGGGAATGGCCCTGGCACCCTGTCGTCAGCCCCGCTGGTAATGCCTGCTCCCCTTCCTGCGCCCTAGGATCTGCCACTGTGAGGGGGACGATGAGAGCCCTCTGATCACGCCCTGCCACTGCACGGGGAGCCTGCACTTCGTGCACCAGGCCTGCCTGCAGCAGTGGATCAAGAGCTCCGACACGCGCTGCTGCGAGCTCTGCAAGTACGAGTTCATCATGGAGACCAGGCTGAAGCCGCTGAGAAAAGTAGGTGGACGGGCCGGGCGCGGCCTCGCCCGGAGGAGGCCCGAGTCCGCGTGTGTCCGTTTCTGGAGGAGGGGCGGTGTACGCGCTCGGGCGGCGGAGATCACCGTTTCTGGCGCTGATTCCCAAGTCCCTCCTCTCAGTCGTCATGCTTTCTTTTTCCTTCCAGCTGAGGCTGCGTGCTCGCCTGTGTCAGTCATGTGGTCCTTGACCTGTCTCCTGACATTTTAGTCAACATTTAACTTTCTATGTGTTGAGTCTATGCCTGGCCTCCAATTAGAACTGCAGATTAGAGATTAGTATCTCCCCTGCACGAAGTACAGCATAACCAGAACTTTGTCCTGTGAGAAGGGTTTTAGGTGGGAGGGTGGGCTGGGGAGGCAGGAACCAAAGGCGGACAGGACACGGCCCTTGCCCCTCTGCCAGGAGCCTTGTCCTGCACACGCGTCCTGTAGGCATGAGGTTCATCTGGAACAACACAAGACTTGTTCGTATCTCAGATTTTATATGGAAATTGACCAGGGAGCCACATCCTCAGAGAGCAGCACAGGTCAATGCCGGTTAAACGCTAACTCACACCAGGCACTTGGGGAGGAAGCGTGCGCTGGGAGCTGGGGCTCGGAGGGGAGTGGTAGCATCCCAGAATGTTGGGGTGTCGAAGCAGCTCTGGAGGGTCAGTAGGATTTGGAGGTGAAGTGAAAGGTGAGATGAGCACTCAGGGGAGTGAGAGAGACTTGAACTGAGTGTGCCGTGGGGGAATAACAGGAAATCAGGGAGTAGGGCTCGGGTTAGGAGAGCAGCCAAAGGAAGGTCAGGCTTTGGAAGGAGTCGGGCACAGATTTAAAGTGATCTCAGGCACCTCCAGTCCCCGGGCCCTGCTCTGCCGGAGTCTCGGGAGTCAGGCGCTTGACCAAGATCGAGGGCTCTGCGGCTCTGCTCTGGCCTCTCCCCACAGAGCATCTGCAGAGGCTGTGAGGCTGGCGAGGGCACCTGCTTACTCCTTGTTCTCTTTCTCTACCTTTATGTGTTCTCTTCTCGTTTGGAAACCGATAAATGAAAAAGGAAATCTGACTATTTGGAGTAAATTAATGCGTCCCTAGAGGAGATGGGACTGGCAGAGACTGCGTGTACCAGGAGCTCTGCCAGAGTAGCAGAGGAGCAGAGGGAGCACCTCCTGCATCACCCTCCCGTGTGGTGTGACCCATCGCGGTGTGTTGTGGCATCATCACCCTCTGCTTCCCTCGCCCACGCTGGTCAGCATGCCAGGGAGACTTACAATGTGCCGCCTGGGTCTGGGCCGGCAGGCGGTGTTGATCGGGGCTGGAACCAGAGACTCCCTGACCAAGCACTGCTGTCTGGTCTGCTGGCAGGATAAGCAGGCGGCTGTGGGGTGTGGCTCCCAGCTCATCTCGACCCGGCCTCTTGCCATTGCACAGGGAGTTGTCCGCTGACAGAATACCAGTACCGGGTGCCTGATTAGAGCCAAGCGGCTTAAAGACAATGACTTTGGGTATTGAGGGGTATTCATGTAGTTGGGGGGGAGGGGCAGCTCCCCCATCGCCAGTGCTCTCACCCCTGCAGCCTGCACTGAGTCGGACCCCGTCTGTGTGTTGTCTCTGCAGTGGGAGAAGCTGCAGATGACGGCCAGCGAGCGCAGGAAGATCATGTGCTCGGTGACGTTCCACGTCATCGCCATCACCTGTGTGGTCTGGTCCTTGTATGTGCTCATCGACCGCACCACCGAGGAGATCAAGCAGGGGCAGGCGACAGGTACGTGTCGGGGATGAGGGGGCTCGGCACAGGGGCAGGCGACAGGTGCGTGCGGGGACGAGGGGGCTCGGCACAGGGGCAGGCGACAGGTGCGTGCGGGGACGAGGGGCTCGGCACAGGGGCAGGCGACAGGTGCGTGCGGGGACGAGGGGGCTCGGCACAGGGGCAGGCGACAGGTGCGTGCGGGGACGAGGGGGCTCGGCACAGGGGCAGGCGACAGGTGCGTGCCAGGGACGAGGGGGCTCGGATTGAGCGTGACTCCAGGTTGTTTCATTCCCGGGTTTCTGGAAGGGCCACCAGCGGTAAGGCAAGAGCCATCCTGTTGGGATGTCCCTCTTGCTTCTTGGTGTGAGTGGTTTCTAAGGTCCAGTCAGAAGAGAGGCCATCACGGAGGGAGAATCTCCATGAACTGCCCCCTGGAAGGGCAGGATGAAAAGGAGTGGCCCCTCCCAGCCCTCCTGCAAGGGAGCAAGCTTTGATGAGCTAAGAATCCGTGGGTTATAAGAAGCTTCTGAGTTGTGTTTTATCTCTTCAGATCTTAAATAATGTCAGCTGACAGGCTAACCCGGTGTTTCCCTTCCAGGAATCTTAGAGTGGCCCTTTTGGACTAAGTTGGTGGTGGTGGCCATCGGCTTTACGGGCGGACTTCTCTTTATGTACGTTCAGTGCAAAGTGTATGTACAATTGTGGAAGAGACTCAAGGCTTACAACAGAGTAATCTATGTTCAGAACTGTCCAGAAACAAGCAAAAAGAATATTTTTGAAAAACCTGCCCTCTCGGAGCCCAACTTTGAAAATAAAGATGGGCGTGGAGTCTGCCATTCCGACACCAACTCCAGTTGCACAGAACCCGAGGACGCCGGAGCGGAAATCATCCCCGTCTGAGGGGGAGGGAGTGGCCTTCCCGGACGTGCCATCACGTACCTTCTCCCCCGTGCTGTTAGCACAGCCCGGCCGGCCACTGTTGTCGGTGCTCCTCTTCTCCTCAGCCCTCCTTGCTGGATCTCCTGGGGAGCTCACGGAGGCCGTGTGCCTGGGCACCACTCCGCAGCAGGCCTATTGGGGGGTGGGGAGGCAGAGCCCATGACACCCGACGGGGAGCTGGCATGGTCTTGAGCAGAAGGAGAGAATAAGGTGTCAGGCTGAGGAGGCGCAGGAGCAGGGGGGCACCAGGCCCTGAGGTGCAGCTCGCCCGGGTGGCGGCAGGCCCAGCCTGGCTTGCAGCGCTCGGAGTGTCGTCACGGTGCGAGGACCCCTCCTCCCGGGAGACCCAGAGGTGCTCCCACTGCCCACACTGCCTGCGTCCTCCCCAGCAGGTGGCCGTGGCGCTCTGTGCGTGGTGGCAGGCGAGCCACTAAGCAAACAGCACTTTACAAAAGGAGAATCTTAATTTTATGTTTCCAGTAAGACTGATATTTAAAAGAATGTTTCATTTGGAAACCTCTTCACGACCCTGACGATCACTTCCATGTTATAATAGATCTGAAACCCTCTCTGCCTTACGTATTCTAAGAAACATGATATCTCCTCTGTGTCCATTAAAGGGACTTGTGACCATAAAGCAGGACAACAGGTCTGATGCTTTCTCCTAACATTTCAGGGAATGAATGGATTCTAAATGGCGACTTGAGCATAGTTCTGTCGTTTCAAGCCTGTGTTATGACAAGTCTTACAAACATTTCTTTTTTTGTCAACACTGAAAAGAAAGGGCTTATGGGGTCTAAATGAAAGGAAAAGTGAGTAATTAAAACAAAACTGAATATTTAAAAACCATTCCTTTCCAGACAAGCCTCTGCCTTGTGCTGGCTTCACACTGAAGAGCAGGCATGCCCACCTGGGCCTGGGGGTGCACCCCGCAGGTCTCAGGACCCCTGTGCCTCGGCCAGCTCCTGCTCCAGAGTGCTGCCCAGGGCAGAGCAGCAGGCTGGCTGGCAGCGACTGCCATGGCTCCATGTGTCCTGCCTCAGC